CCATGAGTCACAAAAATGTTCCTACTATGTATAACTGTCCTGATTTCATTTGTTGTCCAAGCATTTTGAAACTACAATGTTTCGGAAGTTGGTTCTAGGTCCATCTTTAAATATTAACAGGAATATTTTCTGTTTAACTTTAGTGTATAACAAAGGAAGCATGATGATAGTGGACACTGAATGTTTCACCATTTGATTGTTTTTGTTCCTCTTCTGTGGTTTCTGATGATGTCAGTATCATCTTCTGTGTCTCTGGCACTGAGTGGAGGTGGGATGTTGTAGTGGTGCTCCACAGAGGTCTACGCACAGCATATCCTGCAGAAATGGAGTAAACATTTTACATTTAGTTTAATAGTGCCATGACAAGTGCACAGTTTTCAAAATAATAAAGAATTATGTGATGATTACAGATGGGAAGATCAGAAAGTTATATTACAGCCAACAAACAGTATGACAGTATTCTGTCATTTGAATGACACCAAGTTCTGATATGCTGATACTTTTCCCAAGCCCTATTAATGTCCATATTATCATCAATGTTTTTCAAAGCTGCAAAACTATTTGAGATTTTGACCTGACCCTGTTTTTCAACTCCCACATCCTTCTTCTTCAAGGGATTAAATCCATCTGTATCAAAGTTTCTGTTGTTTATTTAAAAACAGAAAATGTCATTTTAACTCTTAAATCACCAAATGGTGGCCAGTGTCACAGTAAACTCTTCTTAGAGATTTGGCATCAATTAAATTTTCATATCATCATTTATCTATTAGGAAGTGATCAATCTGATTGTGTATTCACATCAGGAAACATTCAAGTGCATTTACAAATGGGTGATGAGAGACTCATCACCCTGATGATGGAGCACCAAGTACCCCTGAAACACTGGTAAACTTCCACCACACTGCATGGTGCTAAAACCCAGAAGGCAACTATCTTCTTCCCAAGTGGCAGTATCTAAAACCTGTTTAAGAAACGGCGGCCCCCAAGCGAAGGAAACGTATAAATTCATCACAGACGTGTCTGCTGGTATGAAGGGCTTGCCTTAAGTTACTTAAAGGACAATAAATAAGCTATAGTTCAGTTTGCGACCAATATTTCATGTTCGGCGTTTTAGGAGCTGCCAAATTCGTTTTTGTTGCTGCTCTGTCTGTATACAAAGATTCTACAGAACAAATTTGGTTTTGGGCTTCAGGTTTTCAAAATTCTTAAAGTATATTTGAATAAGAGTGTCCGAAGAGAACAAATACCACATGCAGCGTTTAAGTGTTTAAATTTCATGTGATGTCAGAGATCAATTTCGTACATAACTTACTCGAGGTTTACATTAGAAGGACGCCTAACCTAAAATCTGACCAACACATTGAAAAACTTCACACGCGTTACACAAAGTACTTTAATTAAATTTATGCCACTTACCGCGTAAATATGCATGTTTATTAACACAGCCCGATAGTGCCAATTTATTTAAAGAAACTAGTAAACCTGTAAACTTGTTCAAAACAGACATTTCTTTACTGACCTCAAGCGACTTAGGTTAACTACTTATTTAATCTGTGTTGTATATTCTATGGTATGGTGCCAGGGTTACCAGGAACAAAATGCCTCTTATTTGAGAAATTTCCCTGTGAGCAGTTTTACTTTACGTAATCCATTTTATCTGAGCATAAGTTTCGTAATATATACTACACAGATTGTATCTTTTTTTTATGCTGCTTGTTTTCCAATTGCCTTATCATAAGTATCCTCATCATAGCTCATAGTGGGATCAATGCCGTCCAATCATACGCCAGCTTTGGTCGAAAGACCACATCTAAATTAAACGAAGCATTGGAACGTAAATCAGAAGAACCTCATAGCTGAATAAGTTAATAATGGGATAAATGGGAAGTGGATGTGGCGAACGCATGTTTTGTTAGAGTCAGCAAGGTGTGATATTCGATGACGTCAAGGTAGCGAAGTGAGCGGGAAAGGTTTTAATAGGTATATGTGCAACATCAGATAACTAACTGGTAACGTAAGGGGAAACCGAGTGTGGACGGAAAGGGATTTAATAAGGTGGTGTCATGTGCATTTTGTTGTTTATTTATTAGATAAATGTTTATATGGTAATTAAGTTCCGAATTGATACATGCGAACGGTTTAGCGAAATCGTGATGTTTTATAAGGACAAGTTGTTATCGCCAGCTCAGCTGAAACGCCTTAACGATCATAAATATAGTTGTTCAAGCATCAGCCTGGTGGACCCTCTCCTACAACCATGGTGGAATTGGTTGGTCAGCAAAACACCGCTATGGATTGCTCCAAATTTAATTACCATCTTAGGCCTAATTGTGAATATATTAACGACACTTATCCTCGTCTGGTACAGCCCTGATGCAAAAATAGAGGTATGTGTATGCCCTACCTATACTGTACATGAAATAAACACAGTAACATCATGGCTAGTGATGTGACATTCATACCACATTGAAATGTATCCATTTTTTGTCAATGTCATACACAGCCTTATGACTTCTTTTCTCCCTCACATTTTGGTTGCCTTGGGTTTTGACGCTATACTGCTGACTAAGGCTAACTGCAAAACAGGAGCTGGATTGTACATTTGTGGGATTGCATATGTGCAGATTTTCCACTTTTGGCAAATAATTGTTCACGTTTCTTCTCATATGTATGAGCATATCTGAGTTGGACAATGTTTTACTATATTTGTACTCTCTCTTTGTGGAGGAACTTAACATTTCTGATTTTAACAGGCACCAAGATGGGCATGTTTCGTCTGTGCCTTGGGTTTATTTGTGTACCAAAGTTTAGATGCAATTGATGGCAAACAGGCCAGAAGAACAGGCACATCAAATCCCCTTGGTGAATTGTTTGACCATGGTTGTGACTCAATTTCAACAGGTGAGGAACATTTGAACTCCTGTGTTAGACTAAGTACTTAATTTTGTGACTAATATAAAGATGCATATAAATTAATATCTTCCCTTTGCAGTATTTGTTGCGTTGTCAGCGTGTATAGCAGTTCAGCTGGGGTATTACCCCTCATGGATGTTTTTCCAGTGTTTTTGTGCAATGACACTTTTTTACTGCGCACATTGGCAGACTTATGTTTCAGGTTAGTACTTAGTCTTGTGTGTTGCTTACGTGACACTACTTCTTGTCTTGTAGAGACCATAAAATGGGAAATCTTACAGTTGTATCCATTTATTCCTGACAGTCCTTAATACTGTGTGCAGTATGCAGTTAGGTAATTGGCTCAATAGTGAGCTAATGTTAAAGATAAAATTTATTTATATATGCATTGTTTAAATATTATTTAATTTATCACTTTCTTTATTACAAAATGTAGAAGGATTTAACCCTTCAGTATCTGTGTCCATGTATGTTATTGACCTCAGTTTCATCACAGGATTCCATGGTCTGTACTTGGTATAGGCAAGCTGTATAGAGTTTAAATATGCTCCATCCATGGGTCAGAACACCATTTAAATGGCTACCATCATTGAAGGATTAAGAGGGATTTTTTTCTTCTTTGAAATTTAACATTGAGTGTTCATCTCTAATTTAACATGTCATAGTTTTGCCAGTTTTGTTTTCTTTCTGCATTCCCTGCATGGCATCAGTTATTTCCTCAGTAGTGGTTCAATAAACCATAGAATGCTTGACATACAAAAGACATACTCTAAAGGAAGTGGATGTGTTTCAGGCACACTGAGGTTTGGCAAAATTGATGTGACAGAAGCACAGATCACAATAATTTTCATTCATCTCATGTCAGCAATATTTGGCCCTAGTGTCTGGATGACAAAGGTAAGCAGTCAAACAGGGATTTTATGAGCACATAAACATGTCTTTGAATTCATTCTTATTGTGTAGTTATCAGCATCAGCAACCATAACCCATTGTTTCTTCCTAATCTGCTTCCTGTTTCCTATCATTGAACTTTGGGGTTTATTTTTTTGTGTGTGTATATCTTTACAGTATGGTGACTGGTTACTGATGCTTATTTTGCAAAAATGACAGACATCTGTAGCTGCATTAGTGTAGTTTATTGGTTTTAGCATTAATTCTTTGAAAAGTCTTGCTAATAATGTAGTATGGGTATATGCCAAAGAAACTCAAATACATGGTTACCATATTGTAAAATTTTTCTTATTATGTATTCTTTCCATAGTGCTCAGTGCATAATGAGAATGCATTATGGGCTGGTCATGTCTGTCCTTTCGTTTGTCCAGTTGATTCAAGTCAAGGTCTTCTGGATGGAATTTGGATTATATTTGATGTTATACCATTCTGCATAACCTCAAAATCTTACTTTTCAGTATCCTACAAGCAGTGGTAACAAAATTATGGATGAGGGAAGTCCTGACATGGTCACTGAGGTACTGCGATCTGGTAATCATAGTGTGAATTTGTTGGGTTAGATTTGTTTAATTTCGATCAGGGATGTTTAGGTTAGGCCAGATTTAAAAATTGTAAATGTTGGAAGTTTGAGTGTGGGAGTTAGGAAATTTTTAATTCTGGATTTTGAGATTTTAAGATTGTTGTTGTTCGCAAATTTTGAAAATTTCGAAGATTTGGAATTTTTAAAATTTTCAGAATTTAAAATGTAATTTTACTTTGCAGTACAGGGAAGATGTAGTACCTCAGAATGTTCGTTTGAAAAAATGTATTAGGACTTGTACTAAGGTGTGGAGTACACTTTCTTGGCCTATTTTAGTTTCACTTGTTCTGTAATTTATCTGATGCAGTTAGTCATTATAGTGTAAAGGTAAACTGGCTGTGCTGTAATGCAGATTTTTGACGGCACTGTCGGGTTTACAAGTGCACCTAAAGAGATGAATGTGATTTTGCAATATATACTTTCAGAGATAAGAATATGCACACATGTTAGTATTATCCCAAGCTGTGCAATGACTCAGATAGTGATTTTTCAGTGACAGAACCTTTTTTGATATTCTTATAAGTTGATACCATGTGGACTCACAGATAGATACCAATGATTGGAGAAACATGCTGTTGCCACCTTTATCTAAAATGTTTATATCTGTCTATGAGTCCATACACCTTTACAAGCTGGAAGAACAGTATCACTATCTTTACTGTCCTGAAAACTGCAAATCTCATAAAACCTATTTTGTTGGAATTATACTTACAAGTTTTATTAAGTCATACTTCATGGATGACCGAATATCGCTTTTTAATATTGCTGTGGCAGGCATTCTTATTTTCACATTTAGTTCTGTGCACTCTGTTTATAAACACTGCAATTTATACTTTAGTTGTTTTTTCTGAAGTGTTATGAGAGTGATAAGTTATCTCACTGTCCTGATAAAATGTTTTAAACTGCCCAAACACTTTGATAGTTGTTATCACTCGTATGTTCATATCATGCCACTTGGGTTATGTTAAAACATGCCCCTTTAAAACTGAACTGTAGCAGCCTGGTCCAAATTAATTTTTTGAAAATCCATATTATTTCATTATCATTTGGCAACTAATAAAATCCCATAATTTAATTTACCTTTATAATTATTATCATTGATTCTTTCTGTCCCATTTACTTCTGTTGCTTTATCTTCATCTTTTGGTTTTCTAGCCATCCTATGTTACAGGATAATACAGATTTACAATGCAAGCATCTTACTGCTAGCCACCAACATAAATTAACATGGTGGCTGCTTTGGTATTATGTATAGTTATTTCATTTTGAGGTCATTTCCATTAGGAAACTACGAACAATCATTTATGTTTATACATGTGACTTGTTTGTTGAGTTGAACTCGGCATTGGAGGTAGTGGAACAACCGTGTGTTGCCAAGGGGTTAAAATGTTAAGTCAATGAAAATGTTGCGTGTTGAACTTCCCTTCCGTCTTGAGTGTTACTGTTTTATACTGTATCATTTTGTATGATCTTTATGTTCTCATTTATGCTGGAAGGGATATTTGTGAGTTTAGTCATTTATCCATCAGTGTTTCCCCAAAGGTACATTGTTTTTTCAAAGCCTTCTTCAGTCTTCTTGTCCTCCCACCTTCTTTATCTGCATCTCCACGCTTTCCTTGTCCTACATATTTTTCATGTCTTCTCTCATCTTACTGCATGGTCTCAAAATATGATTAAAAATGAGTGAAATTTGTTGTGTTACGTTTTTGTAGGACATTTTCATGGTTTTATGATAACTGTTTAAGTAAAAGCTTAGTAGATGGAGTGGCAATCAGTAGTGTTGTAGCATTTTCTGTAGTTACATGGAGATTGTGGTAGAGATCGCCTTTTTGACTTGTATTTGTGTTCTGCACAGTAGTACGAGTTTTATGTTGCTTTCATCTCCACGTTCTGTATGAAAGGGCTTGATACAGGTATTTTCAGTATTTGAGACACAAACTTTTAATTTTCAACTGAGTTATCCTTTAATAATTGATATTGTTCTGTAATATGGGCCTAAGTTGTTTGCTCTGGCCCCATGACCAGGAGAAGTTTATGGGATAGGTGGTGTCTCAATATTTGTTACCATTTGTATTGTTTCAGAAGGTAAGGATTTAGATGAGAAATCATTGCCTTCTGTTTATAAACTCCCCAGTTCACCGCATCAAACAAATCCAGTTGAGAATGTGCACATCTGACTTCAGTACTGTACACCTCTATTTACAGAATCCTAGGGGACCTGAACATTTGTATTCAAGATGGTACCTTTAGGGGAATATTTTACAGAACAAACCCAATGTTTGTGTGACTTTCTTTCTTTCTTTCTGTCATGCATTTATTTATTGTCCTCCCATTATGTGTTTTCCTTATTTCTTAATTTTTCCTTTAGTACATTAAAATGTTCTGAACATGCTCACAGCATCAAGAAATGAATTTTGCTTTGCGCATTTTGTCTTCATTGAGCTCATGATGGTGTTAAGTGGGCCACAAAAGATTCATTGTGCTCTATGATTTGAAGCTTTTGCTGTGAATAAACTCAGTTAAATCTTATCGGGCGATTAGCCACGCCAGTTGGTTACATGAAGTGACCAACGCTTCAGGAACCATCTCCGACCCCATCATCAGGGTTCTGATGTTCACGTCAGAACCCCTACGGAGATGGTTCCTGAAGCGTCGGTTGCTTCGTGTAACCAATTGACACTGCATATTGCCGGAGATTTTATCAGGTTCATTGTGCTGCGCAGTATGTCCCTGGTGCTGACCCACATGACAGATATGTATTGTTATATTGTGTTCTAGTTATGCAGAATGACACAGTAGAATTGGTACTACATTCATTCAGTATAATGAACTGATGGTTAAGTTCCCATTTGATATGTTTAAGTTATAGACAAGAGCATCATATAACATTTTTCTTCCAAGCCTTCCTTGTTTCCTGCTGTCTTATATTTGACTGTTTTGTCGTAGATGTTCTTTCATGGCCAATATTAAACAGATTTGCGCTTTCTTAACATTTTGGAGATGCTCATTTTGAAGGTAGAGCAGGTGTTGGACAGTGCTTTCAGTTTTTCTCAGTTCTTCCATGCAGTTTATTACCCCAAAATACATTTTAATCTTAAAAATAGAACCTACTGCCTCTCTTTCCTTTTAGAAGTAACAAGAACCAGCAGATACTGTGCAAGACGTGCCCATGGCACATCAGTTTAGAAGGTCATAGGGAAAGTTACAGTGGTTTATTAATGACCAAACCATGATATAATGTATTTGTTTTCCATATTTATTAAAAATATTAATTTATCAGAATTTTCATACTTTTAGAAAATTATGCAAAATTGGAAGACTGTTTATCACCATGTGGTGCTAGTATTATTCACACCTCACACACAACACAAAAATTGGGTTGTGAAGAAGGATCTGTGTTTTGATGAATCATAAATGGAATGCTGAAGGGACTGAGCTGCTTTTGCTTTGTAGTTATGATGCAAGTTTGTGCACTGCAACTTGCATGGTTTTGCTCTTAAATAACTATCAATCATTTATTACTCTGCCTGCAGCTTACTGTTTTCAATATTAAGCTGCTTCAATTTTGTTTTGTATTTGTCATTTGTTTGTTCTGATTGCAGATTCCGTTTTTAGAGTATATTGAATTGCGGTATTTGGTAGGGCTGTTCACAATTGTGATGGCGGTGATTGTCATATACCGCAACTTTGTAATCGTGTTTACTGGTGGGATAGGAAAAAACGGCTCCACGTGTGCTGTAAGTTGTTTGAACAAGCTTGCCAACTAAACTTGGTGAAGGGTCACATCTAACACTTCAGAGCAGTGTTAGCTTTCAAAGAAGACTGTTCTGATTTTATGTTGTGCTCAGATGTGTGTCGGAATGGTTGTGGTGTGGCTAGCAGCTGATGTGTATGTTACCTGGCTTCATTCGACCCTTCCTTGCGTCATCTATTTGATTCTTTTGTGGCAAGAATTTACACTGCACTTCAAAATACCACTTGCTTAAAATTTAACAGTTAACATTAGCGCACACACAAAAAAAGTGTGTGCTGATGGCTACGTTACAAGAAGAAGATGGCTGTCTTCTGGGTTGTAGTGCCATGTAGTAGTCTCATGTCTTGTTCTTAAGATGAAAGGTTCCATACATCTTTTCTTCTTTATCCAAAATTGTTCTAGACAATTTTGTATTGAGAACCATTTCCCTTCATCCACTCTGTTCTTAAATCCACTGTTATGTAAGTAATTTATTACAAATTCATAACATTTTAAGTTCTTGCAATGAGTGGCTATAATGAAGTCTTTGGTGGTGATCAGCCACTTCGGTCGGACGTAAGACTCTGACATTTCATACACTCTCTGAGGGACTAACTTGATGAGTAACAAATTTCTCCAGGGTAAACAACATTAAACTGGGTCTTGTGTGAGATGGGTGACCATTTATCTTGGACCACTGCTTTCCTCTTGGTTAGATCTGGACCAATTATTGCTAGTCTCCATCAGATTAATGCATATTTGTGTCAGGATTTCAGTCCCTTTTTGTGGAGATAAGACAATTTTTAAACCTGGAATACTGGCCACTTTCCCACATGTGGCTTACTCCTTGCCCAGATGATGAAGGCTGTAAGCATCTTTGAAATGTCTGTCACTATCTACCAGACTACACAGCACAACGTCCCAGAAGATGGCCATCTTGACATACGAGTATCAGAGTTTTATTCCATAGTGTTATAGCTGATTGCCAAAAGATAGTTCTTTTCTTTATAACGGCGGTTCAGGACATAAGAATGTTTGGTTTTGTGTGCAGTGTGTCTGTTCTTTGTCCACTCTGTACACTTTTAGAACTCCTATGCTTTTTACTAAGTACTTGTTATGTACCTTCTTTCTCTCCACTGTATGCGTTTTAAACCCTCTTGTTTGTAACTAAACATATGTTCCACATCTCTTAGTTATATCCTGGGTTTTGACATCCATATTCTGGATATGGTGTGTCCTTCTGCCCAACCTTTTCCCTTTGTGACTGAAACCTCATGTGAGGAATGACTTTTGTGATGCCATTAATGACTTTGTATATGTGGGTTACTCTTTATGCTGCGACTATCAGCTGCCATGGTTGGACGTGGAACTAAAGCTAGTTCCAATATATGTAGCCGTTCTGGTGGCAGCCCTGCTTGCCCAGTCCAAAGTTGCCATCATTATAACTGGTGGCATTGGGAAGAATGGGTCGACTGTTGCTGTAAGTGACTTCATGGCTTGTGTCCATATTTTCTTTGTAATATCTGATCCAGTGATGTGCTTTTGTGGTTTTTAATGGACATGTTCCAGATACCAAGTAAGTTTTATTATATTTAAAAACTGAGTATTAGACATTTAGAAAGATTCTTCTACGTTTGTCACTTGGTTCATTTACTGATGCTGACGGTATTCGGTGTCACACCGACAGTAATATTGTATGAATATTTCTACCTTAATGAGGACTCATTATTAATGAACTGGAGGGACAATGACATTGCATGGGAAACATTACAGGTTGCTCCTTGACCTTTGTTGTAGGATTTTCGTAATATTTACATAGTGAAGCGTGCATGTAATGATGTGTCAGGGGAACTGAACTCATTTATATTTAACACAGCTACTTATTAGAATAACTTCCTTTCTTGATGCTGCTAATAAAGTTTCATTTCTGTTCTGCATATGCACAGTGAGCACAGTGCAAAACAAATTGTTATAAGCAGAGTATAAATAGCTCCATTGGGCAGAGTCCTCCCTGAGAAGCAAAACGTTGTTTTCTAGTCAATTTTTCCATCTTTTATGGAACACAGAGGTTCATCACTGTGTTCTCCAGAGCCCACCAATGGTATCACCCCTGAGATGATTGCAGTCAACACTCCATATCCTTAAGATTCATTTTAATATTATCCTCCCATCAGTATATAGGTATGCATTACTCCCAATCATTCTACCTACCCCCATCCATCTTGTCCTCCTTGGTTTTATTACTGTAACAATATTTTGATTTGTTACATTTATTCCCATTATAGTGTAGTAGTGTTTATTAATTCTTGTTCATTCTTTATTTCCATTTTAAACCATTTATGTTAGAGACAATGTTAGTTAGTCAGAGAAATATGCTGTTTAATTCAGGATCCCAAAGGATCTATATAGCAAGTCTGCACAAGTATTTTTTAACACAAGGTCAAGGGGCAGCTTGAGAGGTTCTGGATTTTCGGAACCAAGCGTGAACAGAGTTGCATAGAAATGGCACTGCTTGATGTGAGTATTTGTTTCAATATGATTGTGGCTTGTTAGGAATGGAACCATACACATTCAGTATGTGTTTTAAATATGTATGTTTTGCCTGTAAATATTAAATTTTTGGAAATTTTGTTGTGAATGTTTAATATTGAATTATGTATTGCTTAGTTATGTGTTTGGCAATGTTTTTCATTCTGAAGGAAGGCAGTTAAAGGAAAACATGTCATGTAGTTCACACATATTTATTGGGGAACACGGAAGAATACCTAGTGAAATGCAATTTCTAAACAGCTGAAAGTGGTATTTGAAGTGACATTTATGTTGTTGTGAAGTCATTCTCAGCTGGTGGTGCCATCTCTGGTAATTTTGTGGTGAGGAGCGCCTGTTGCATGTGTCATGCATGCCATTCAGCTGCTGGTAGGCAAACTAATCAAACTGCATGTTGTGGAGTTGATTTAATATTGAGTATTCAATTTTATATGATGTGAATGTCTGCTTTTCATTTGTTCATGAAGACAGAGAGAGAGAGCCAATTTTGTACCCCCAGAAAATATGTGGTAGAGATATTTGTGGTGTGTGACAAATTTTCTGTTATCTATTCTGTATACAATTCAAATATTGCTAAATTTCAGGATGGGCAAAGAGTCTGTGAGTAAATTCAGCCCAGCCAATAGCTATGTTAATTCAACCTCATTTATCACACTGAGGACCTGTATCACTGTTTTTATAGAGGCCTGGGAAAAACACAGATGGAAATTGTTTCAGAACAGAGTGCTTATTTAGACCTAAGAATAATTAAATAACAGGAGGGTGGAGAAAACTACTTAATGAGGTTCTTCCAATTTTTGTATCTTCGCCAAATATCATTAGGATCAGATTAATGGGGTATGCACCATACATGGGGTAGATGAGAAATATGTACAAAATTTTAGTCTGTATGTGTGAAGGAAATAGACTGTTTAGAAGACCTACATATAGATGGGAGGATAACATAAAATGAATCTTAAGGAACAGGCCCAGAGAATGTGTGCTGAATACAGAAAGAAATGCTTCTTACCAAAGTGGAAACCACAACAAAGTTAAATGTTTATGTCATGTTTGATGAGACAGTCCTGAAATTTGTTGTATTGTTACGTAGGGCACAAGCGTTCTGTCCCCCGTGATTCCGTTCAGCCTTGTCATTGTCCCAGCTTTCATCATCTACAGGAAAAGCGTGGAACATGTATATGAGAATCATCCTGCTCTCTACATACTAGCATTTGGTATGGCAGCTGCTAAGGTTACCAACAGACTTGTGGTAAGTTGATGTGTGATTATCAGTGACTACATGCAAGCCTCATAACTTATTTTAAAATTAAGTGCATGTACGAGGCGCGTCCCAAAAGTAAGTTTCCCACTCGTCCCACAGCTAGCAAACCTTATATTGAGCGAAGCGACTGTGCGTACGTGATAGAGCAATGACGTAGCATGGCGCATGCACTAACGGCACTTCCCGCGTTCTCACAGTAGCATCGTTGCAGCTGTTGAAGATGGAGATTCTTATTCCAGCTCCCGCCGACTGTGAAGTGCGGCCAGTGATAACGCTAGGCCGCACACGACTCGACGGACAGCAAGTCTCCTGCAGGAGTTCAGCTGGGAGGTGTTTAATCATTCACCCTACAGCCCGGACCTCGCTCCCAGTGATTTCCATCTTTTCCTACACCTCAAGAAATTCCTGTCCGGTCAGCGTCAGCGTTTTGAGAATGACAGAGAGGCGGAGATGGCTGTCACACAGTGGTTCCAATCCCAGGCGGCAGACTTCTACGACACAGGTATTCAAAAGTTGGTCCCACGGTATGACCAATGTCTCAATTCCGGTGGCGAATATGTTGAAAAATAGCTGGACACTTGCTGTATCTGTTGCAATAAATATTTCCATGAAATTGTGTTTTGTTTCTGTAAACGGCCCCAGGGAAACTTACTTTAAGGACGAGCCTCGTAGTATGAACGGGAGGATAACAGTACATTAAACTCAGGTACACAGGTGAATTGGTTACTGGTTAAGAAGCATTGTGATTATTATTAATTGCTGTTTTGGCAGAGTGATGAGATGTTGTCAGTATAAATCTTGTGCTTCTAAAACATAATGGAGTTCCTTGTATGACTCATCTGATTTGTCAGTGTTTATCTTGTGGGTTGTAATGCTGCGTGGATTTGTAAGTAGGTACCAGTGTACCCATGGCTGCAGGATGATCATGAATAAATCAAGAAGATATAACCCATACATCAGTTTTTCTTGCATTTATGACTCTCTTATGTCCATGATTCATTGACTGAGTCATTGTACCCCACTGCAGGTGGCGCACATGACGAAAAACGAGCTGGAGTACCTGGACTCGGCTCTGATCGGCCCAGCCATGCTGTTCCTTAACCAGTACTTCAATTTCTTCATCCAAGAGTACATTGTCCTGTGGCTGTGTTTGGTGAGTGACTTGTGGCTCCCATAATCAACTTATGCCATGCAACTAGTCTCAAGACTCATAAATCCATTTTTTTATAGGTGTGGGTGAGCCTGGATCTACTTCGTTATTCGTCACAGGTGTGCCTCGAGATATGCGATCACCTCAAGATTCAGCTTTTCCGAATACCCGCGGGCAAGGCATTGTCTGCCAGTGTGTTCACATCTTCCAGCACAACCACAGCAGGGGAAAAAAATGGTATGGGGAGCCAGCACCATGGTGGCAGGATGGGTGGGAGAGGAGGGCGAGGGGCCCGGAAGCAGCACCACTAGCAGAATGGTAGCAGTGGAACTGTTTAGTTTAGTTTTTATGACACACTGCTCCATTTTACTTTGGTTTCTAACTATAAGGCCCCTAACTGCATGCAGCCTTGGATCACACGTGCAGGTGCATACTTTGTGATCGCAGAGCTTGCCTCTTCATCTTCGAAGACTTACTCAGCAGGATGTTTCAAAATTTGAAAATATTGCAAATTGATATTGAACTGATTTTTTTTTTTTTTGGGGGGGGGGGGTATGTGGCCATGACATTTGCATGGAAATTGCAGTTGATTTTTATTTGAGGTGTTTGAAATTCTGATCAAGGGTGTACATTATTACTTTGTTGTTGTTGTGACCAGTTGGTACCGACTTAATAGTGGTAATGAACTGAGTTATGAAATTTGAGTGAAGGGTTTATATTACTGCTTCATTGTCGTGGGGACTGCAGTTGGTACTGACTCAGTAGTGGCTATTGACATGTTCATGACATGCAGAGGTGAGCAACCAGAAAGTTGAATCAGTTTCTCTGCCACATTGACCCTTATTTATACTTGGTAGTTGTAGATATTTTGACAGCTGACTTCATTACGTTAAGAGACAGAGCTGTGCACATCTTCCTGTAATATAGAGCTTAGCTTTGCTTAGGTTAGGTTAGGTTCGGTTCTGTTCTGTTCTGTTCTAGTGGTATATTGTGTAGTTAGGTCAGTCTGACTCTAAACCACAGATTTCATAATGTATGCTTTATCTCCATGTCAGGCGTTTTTGTAGTAATAACCGTCAGATACCGAAGTGAACTTTGTGTACATGGATTGTAGGTTATTTAATATTGCTCTACTCATATTAAAGGTTATATAGTGTCTTTCTGTGGCAGGATGATAACATTCAATGAAATTGAAATGATTGGAAAAAACAATTATAATCTGTGAGATTTTAGGTTACTACAGTGGGAAAGATGTTGTTGGTCTGGGCTTTGGCTCTGTGTGAATTCATAGGTAGATACCAGCATTTCACAGAAAGATACTATCTCCATCCTCAGGGCTTCACAACCCAGAACAACAACACTGACTGGTCATACATAGTCTGTTTCATTTGCCGAAAGGGACTGATGAATATTAAAACCTGTTGATGCAGTTTGTTTCAGCTGAGATTCAAGCCGCCTATCTCCCCAATACAATTAAGAAGTGGAATTGGTTGACTTCACTTGATTGGTTTCATAGTTCTGTATATATATTACAAAACTTTACTTCCCTCGCCCCCAAGTCACAATTTTGTCGAGTTCCATAAATATTTAACAACTTACTGAAGTATTTCATTTCAGCACACAAGTCAACTTTCTGCCTATAAACTTGATAGGAATAACAACAAAATAAATTATAGTAATTGTTTTGTACATGTATAGTGTAAAATTTATATTCAGGGATTCTTAATTCTTCATCGCTCAATGTGTGGAGAATGCAGCTTGGTGGAATCTCTTGTAACCACCGTCCCTTGCAAACACTTCATTCATGGTTTCTTATCATTCTCCTTACCCCACCTGTCACATATAAATGTTGCAGAGGGGCACAGTACCTGACGTTCTGTCGTATTTCACAAACAAGCACATTGTCTTCACTCATGTCTGTGTTTGTGTTAAGACTTCAGCAATCAAGTTACCACAATTCTGTCAAAATATAAGTCTTTGGTTTTGAAGTGCAGTACGTTCATTGCACCAATGCTAATGAAGTAGGCCGATGTAGTTGAAGCAGTCACAGAACTCTCCTAAGTGTGACGCTCTTACACTAAATAAAAGAATCATTTAATATATAACTCTGGCAACTTGCGGGTTGTGAGCCAGGCTTGATGTTCCACACAGTTTTGTTTTATCTGATCCGGTGTTAATGTTCACAGTTCAACTGTGAATCCAGACACTTAAAGAGTTGATGTCTTCTGCCAAGCTTTTCAGTACTAGATTTAGAGATAAATATATAAAGTATCTGTTCTTAACCCAGAACATTTTTATTTAATATGAATTCCAACATTTTACGTTGTGGGAAGTGTTAGATCCATGTGATGTTTAGGAAAGTGAAATTAGTGTAAAGAGGACTACAGTTGTGAAAAGGGGGGGCATTATGGAAGAAAATTAATGTCAAAATATTGATGAAAGTGTTTAGTTATAACTGATAGCTTTTAAGTTCAGGATAACTGTTGAGTCAGACTTCATGTTTATTGTTTCTTGAAGGGGATCTGAGAATTGTCATTAACTGAATCAGAATTAGAAATAAATGACCCACAAGTGAATTTTCTTGTTATGTCATTGGACGTGATTATTTTGAATGTTTGTTTCTGTTCAGCCATATAAATTTGTGTATGTGTTTTCTGGCATAAATTGTCGGTTTCAGATTTAATTGCTGTATTATCTTTTCATTTCCATCTTGCATTGTATGTTTGTGAAAGACCGAATGTTACATTTCGCTCACTGACTGTAGCAAAGTAAAGCAGTGAATATGGTCCATTAGAAAAGAACAGAATAATGCACTTTGTTTTTATTTTTATGCACATTTCTTATTATTTGTTGGCAGACTTCATTGACAGTGTCAGTTGACTGCACTGTCAAATAATTGTTACATTTATTCAGAAGTGAAGACATTTATAAAAAGCAAACTGACCATTGAAGATAAAATCTTGTGATTCAGTGACAGGTCATCTGACCAGTAGTATCTCATGGTACGAGACTCATTTTCCAGCATTTCAGTACCCATTTCTGATTCTACCTAAGCATTCACTCTTAAGCGGTGTTATGGTTGTGAAATGCTGTCCCTGAAATTGGCAAACTTACCTGCATTTCTATAATTTTGTTGTGAACTGATTTGCCATCATTTTACCTTGTTGTGTGAGAAGAGTTTACGTATGGTACAAATAAATTAATGTGTACCTTGCCTAGTCTGTAAGGAAAGTACTGAAATAATGTGATTGTTTTTACATAGCCTAGTGTAAAATTTACAAATAAATGAAAATATTAAATGAACATGGTATCTCAGTACACGCCAGTGCTTGAAATTAGATGATTGGTTGTTGTTCAGTATCACCAAGCTCTTATGTGTGAAAGCCTGTATTAAGTTGGTTTACAGCTGTTTAGTCCAATATTGTGTTTTACCAACACAACTCAGTTTGCTGTTATGTCTATTTATGATGACTGCCTTTGGGTTGTAGCACTGTGTAGTCTGGTAGAAGTTTGCTAACAGTTCAGAGTCGTCGCCTTGATGATGGAGGTACCTCTGAAATGTTGGTAAACTTCTACCAGACTACATGGTGCTACAACCCAGAAGGCAGCAATCTTTATTTTCACATGCATGAAAACCACAAATCCTCCTTAATCTTGCATTAGTTTTATGTTTTATTTGAATCCTCTATTCTTGTTGATGGTTTCTTAGGTGTTGGTGGAGTCTTTTGGTGCTTAACCTTATTAAAAATGTTGTGAAATGTAGGTACTTGTTTAATTTCACCTGCCTGTTTCATTAATAAAGAATTAAATTGTTGAATTTCCAACATTTACTGCAAGTTGCTTAAGAACACGCTTACATGAAACTATCTTGCAAATCACATATTAGAAAAATGAGATAATAAACATAAATGTTTATATATATGAATTGGTTTCAAGAAAGAAATCAAAATGTTTAAATATTTTATATAATGTCCCTTTAAATGAGTGTAATTTGTTTTATGTCTGTCACACACTTAACAAAATTGAAATTTGGTAAAGCAGTAGTGGATTATTTTGAAGGGGGAATAAATGTTGACATAAGATGTCCAAAGATACTTCACCCATTTACAAATTGTTTCTGCTGTCTGCCAATGTGGTCTGTAAGGAAGAGTAATGTACTCTTCATTTTCTTTACATATTACAGACTTCAAAGTGTGACTCACGACAAGCGGATGCAAAGTATGCAGACAAAATTTATTCTGCTTGTCAGGTCACTCATGTGTCAGTTTTTGTGACTGTGTATGCAAAATTCAGCAGCTTTTTTTCTTCCGTCATTCTGATAACTTAGGTCAACTTTTATAAATTGGATGTAAAACTAAACAGAACAGGTGGAGTAATTGCAACTGTATGCAGCTTCTTGAACACTTAACCACGTACATCTGCTTTTGGAACTATACATTGGGTGGCTGGCTTTGTTGAAATTAAAATTAAAATAAGTATTTATATAACTGTTCTTTAGGATTTGCTTAAATGGACATGGTGGAAAAGAAAACATCAAGAAATTTGTCCTCCAAGAGATATGAGCCCAGGTCCACAAACTGAAAGATATTTGCTGTACCCATAAGAACAGCGATGGATATTTAGGCTGTGAACATCACAGACTTTTATTCAGTTTCGTGGTACAGTGTTTGTATCAATAAATGGTTCATTGTGTTGTTCACACCATGAACTGTGATAGTACATTAGAATAGCCTGTCATTACTTTCTCCCCAATACTTTGCAGTGTACCATTTATAAATTTCCTCATCATTTATTTGATGCTAACAATCTCTGTGGTTTGATACAGCATTGTAAAACAATCTGAAAAAGAAACAAATTTGAAATAGGATACAACCCCCCCCCCCTTTCCAAATATATCCTGATGCTTTAAACTTAAGTATACAGTATTAATGTCTTATATAATTTGACACTACCTTACATCTAAAGTGCTTTGCTTAATGGTGTACAAATGAAGCAGTCATTAAATATTCCACAGTCATCCCTTTCCATTTCACCGTACATAATCGTCTTACCACATTCAGCACGAAGTAGTTTCTGCACTTGGCACACTATTGTTAAGTATATACACACTAACCAAAACATGATTCCTCATAAAGTAAATTTAAGCACAAAATTTGCCAAAAAGATATTTTATGCTGTGTTCAACAAGATGGCCAAATGAATGAGAGATGTGACATGTTTATTTTCTGGCTTTTCTTGTGTGACTCGCACTGCTTCCTGTCTTGCTTCATGTGAACTTCATTGCTGCCTCTGCAGAACCAAGAGTCAAATCTCAGCAATTTCGAGACATCATCTACCTGGCCAGCACCATGATAATGTACAACATTCTTTGCTTCCTTACAATGTAAAAGTTGTCATGACTTAAGTTTTTTGTATGCAATTTAAAACATATTCTCTATCTGCATTAACACTGATCCAGGAACTCACTGAAAGATTGTCAAATGATTTGACAGAAATTGTTTAAATAATGCACAAAATATTAGCCAAGTCATTATAAAATCAATATTAGGAGAAATTTGACTTCAAAAGCTGCCTGTTTCTTTGGTGGGAAGTGGCCCAGTATTCTGACAGAATTTGGTTCATCAGAAATGATTCCAGTTACTTTTCAAGAGTTTACCCAACAGTGTGTGAAATTGGTTCTATAATACACCAAAAATTTAATCTGCTTTTTGCCAGGATCAGACCTGGCACTTGTTCATAAATTTAGCAAGCACTGAAACTTAGATTGTGGTGTTGTGGATTGGTTTGCTGTCTGATTGTTTGGTTCTATATCAACATTTTAGATCAACCTTGAAGATGGAGGCAGGCTGTTTGTGTAAAGCGGTGTACAACCAGAAGACTGCTGTGCGATAGTCTAGAAGATTGCAGTGCAAATGCGTACCACTATTGAAACCTAAAATCCAAGACCAAAAATTGTTCCGTTTTGTCAGGAATAGTCTCGTTCAGTTATCAGCTAGGAAAACTGTCCATTTCCCCCAAATTTATTGAACTTTTTTAAGAGGTTGGCCAAACTTTTAACTGCTGTTGTTGGCACATTATCCCAATTCTTTGATTTTAATTTCATTCCAAGAAAGAGGTAGATCAGAAATTGACAACCTGTTGTGCAGGTAGGTTCAACTCTTACACAGAAATTTGTGCGTGTTGTGTTGTACCAGGTTGTTGATCGTCTGTGTCAGCATGATGCCATATGGATCAGTCGCGTGTATTGAAGCATGATTGCTACCTTGTGTCCCTGTTTAAAGTACTGGTGTAATATGTTGCAGTATAACTAACCTGCTTGCATGTCATTGGTTTGGTTGTTTTCACGCAGTGTTCCTTTCTGTCTTTTGCATCAGGACTTACCTGTTTGGCATTTACAGTAGGCAAAATGGTGCCTGATGTATGCTGTTCTGATTCTGTCTTTCCATCTCTTCTATCATTCTTGTCCTTGTCACCAAGAATGGTTTTCCTGAAACCTGTCACATGCATGCTGGGACAGTAAATTGGAACAAACCTAGGTGCTCTCACATACTTCTACCATCAGTGGTCATACTTAAGCAGTCATAACTGGATGTCTTGATAGTTTTCTTCAGGAAAATGTTGAGATAAATAGGATTTGAGGTTTCCATAGCAGTGAGTTCGAAGATGACTCTCTTCTGGGTCGTTGCGCCCTATAGTCTGGTAGATGTGTACCAACATTTCAGAGGTCCTTGCTGCCTCCATTATCGCTTTTCTAACAGACTACATGGCGCAACAACCCAGACGATAACCATCAAATATGAAGATACTTCTCATGACCACTTTGTTCATCCAGATTTTACACCCTTCAATTGACTACAGTTTTAATATAAATGATGCAAAATTGTTAAGTTGCATGTAACAGAGAACCTACTATATCAAGATTCATATCCCACAAAGTCTGAAAATTAAGAAAACCCTCATAAATAGCTGAGTTCTTGTAAATAAAGTAATGCATGTGTATGTGTGTGTGTGTGTGTTTTAATTAGGTATTCCTGAAAATTTGCATAAGGCATGCTTTCCAAGTTTATTTCTGAACTCATAATGTGTATGCAGTCTCAGTGTTTTGTAAGCAAAAGTATTCATAAGTTGGTGATGTAATGTTATCACATACTTGAACGCATTTGTACACTACAGTACTGTCTGACATGAAGTAGAAATTTTATTCATATATTTTATGGTAGAATTGCAATTTCTTGTAAACTAATGTATAAAGTGAAGATTTTGCGGCGACTGAGCAGATACACTGGTGGTGTTCAGAAATCTCTATGTTTCAGGAGCATTGTGGGCATTCTTTGATTCACAAAGAAGAGAAATGTACCAGTCTGTTTGGTTTCAGGAAATGTACGTGTTTGTTACAGCTTCCCTGCTACTGACTTCAGTTCCGAGGATATCCAGTAGAGAACACCCCGTGCTGTACACATCGCAGCAGCAGCACCTGCTGATCTCGAGTGATGATGAGAACCAAGTCCCACTGCTTGATGCAGAACATTCCTAAAGTTTACATCATACATAGTTTCATTCTGAATTTTTATACACACTTCATATGTAACACTTGTATTAAAGTTGTATGTTACAAGCACAGGTGCAAATATTTAAGAAGCTTCTAACTTACAATGGAATGATGAAAGTAAAGTCATCTCTGTTTGCAACTGTTGCATTGGTAACTTGGCTTATTAGCAGATAACAGGCTCAATGAATAATTCATGTAACAGAAACTGTATCATGTACATAGTTTCACATATTTTCTTACAGTTTTTTTGTTTCCTTTTTGTGTTTCAAAAACCTACACAAAATTAATTCAGAGATTACAAAAGTGACAGTTTTCCAACAGCTAAACCGTTTCAATTTTTATCTGGTCATATTAGTAGCCAGCATAACCCAGCTAGATGGATGCATCACAACTGTCATTATATTTTGTTAAGAAGGGTAGGCATAATTTACCTCTGCTTGCTTCCTCATGGATTAACCCTTCTCTATTCAAAATATAATGCTTATTGGGGTCTTGTGATGTCCACTGTGGCTCAGTAAATGTGCTCCCAAGTGACATTGTTCAAGTTCTACATTTGTATCAAATTTTAGACACATTAACCTCTTCGGCGGTAACATGAAATGTCTTGTTCGCTAAGGCCACGACATATAATTTCTTTCATTGGCATAAATGTTGCCATACAATTGAAAATGGGATGTGAGATTTGCAGCTAAGTGATGACCACTACTTTGTATTGTGAAAATGGCAGTTATTTACTGTAGGCCAGTTCCTTGCATGTAGAAACATAAAATACATTAATTGCAAACAAAGACTTCTTTACCTTCCACACTGCTGTTTCAAAAGGACATTTCTCATTCCTTCTCTGCACAAGTAAACATTGTGTGATATGTTATTTGTGGAATACAGCAGTGAATCATGTAATCAGTAGAGTGTAGTTTGTACTATTTGTAGTTCTATATCTTGACATTGAATATTTATTAAGTATTGATTACATACAACATGTAACACCAGATGTGACTTCTTAAGAGAGAATGTTCATATATACCTTGGTGTGATTTCAGTCTGTATCACAAAGGGAGATATATTTATATATATTTTTATACTTGTAATTCAGGTATATTTACATTCTTTTTTTCTACTGTAACAATCATTCCTCTGACCTGTTAGTCATCAATTGTGTACATTGCACAAAAATGTTTCTTTAGAGAGTAAAATTGTGAGAAATTATTTTTAAAAATTCAGTAAAGAGTTATATAAATAGGAACAGTTTTATTCTGAAACTGCCACATGTTTGTAGAACACATTATTCTGATATGTGATGTGACATGGAGCTGAGAATAATTATCACTGCATCCTACAGGGAATAAAAAAATAATGTGTCACAAAATGAACAATAAGTTTATGTAAAAGCAATCAAAAACCTTGAAAAATACAAGAATTCAATTGGAATGGTATTTTCTTCAGTTATTCAGAGGGTCAGTGATCAGTAGTGCTGAAGCTGTGAGATTGTAAGTTCTTGTGGTGGTGAAGGTGTCTGTTGGTTTTCTAAGAACCCAGAAGATTAACATGACAATTTAGTATGATAATTATGTTGTTTGTGAGGGACATAGTATAACGTGGAAGGATGCCAAGGATTTATAAATTACTGAGCCACACAACTTATGCAAACAATACAAGAACGTGGCTTTTGCAGTAATTTATCCCAGCCCGGATTTCTTTCCAAGTTGGCTGAATATAACATTCTAAGGATTACCAGCCTTACAGAACTTAGTGTTGACTCCTCCTCCACCAGATTTGATGCCCATTATTTTGAAGAAACATTTATCTCTCTTTTTTAATATAAAGAACACATATACTATTTACAGGTCAGACAGACCCCCCTCTGTATATCCATATTTGACTTGTAGACTGCAGTCTGACTGCCCTTGTTTAGGTTCATTTAAAACCAGTAGGTGTACAATAGCTCATATGTGTAAATATTTGTTATTAAATTATATATTATAATCTGCTATTTAGAAAATGTACAAATTTTATTTTATAAAAAGGTTAAAGTACAGGTCATATAAAACAGGTGGTTCTGCATCGTTGCCTGTAATGTTACACTTGCACAGCATTTATAGGACCAGTTACTTTCCGATAAAGGCAAGTTTATTTAAATTTTAATGCAAGTTTAATTTTGGGCAGTGCAGTTTACTATGCCATAAAATATGTTCAGCTGTCCGTTCGAAAAAGAAATGTTTGGATTGAACGAAAGAACATTGGCTAATTACTCATCTGTTTTTAATATGGGATTAGACCGTCTCAGGCAAATTTGCTAATTAGATGCCAGTTTATGTGCACTGCAGTGATCCTATTTGGCCTCGTAGGACGGCCTTCTAAATGGCTAGTTCCGTGCGACTGCCAGTTCGGCATTATTGGCTGTTGAATACTTTGTGATACGGCTCATTACGCCGTGTCACTTTGATAACGTTCTGCACAATATCGTGTTTTGACATTTGATACGAAATGCATATACTGATGGAATGCTTCATATTAACACATTTCCAACAGTCTATATAAGATTTTATTAAATACATCAGCGAGTCGATTGTCATTTTACGTGCATATTTAATATGGTACATGGTTCGTCAGCAGATATAGGACTATTCATAATGTAAGTTTGAAGTGGTCACTGATATAAAAAACGGCCACCAGCAACTCGATTGTAATTTTCAGTTTTCACGAATTTCCTGACCTACGGCAACAAACGTACAAACAAAATGACGGAGCAAAGTACCAAGGAGCAAGTGAAACTGGAAAATGTAAGTATTGTTCCATAAAGTTGGCTGTAAAGTAGTGTCGTGTTAAGTGCAGGATCATTAATTTCAACTCACTGCACTTGAGTGACCATATGTGACTTCACATACGATCAATGGACGTGTTAACATTCTTGTATTCAGGATTGACTATGAAATCAGGTATCCCATGTGAAGTTTTTGTGTTTTCCTCAGTTGCTCAATGCAAATGCCAACACAGTATGTAAAGTAGAGCAATGTTATGTTCAAGACGCTTATTGTTTGTATCCAAGACACATTCTTGGTCACTGTCTGTAATTACTATTCTTTGGATTACACCTTCAGATATTGCTGAGGAACTCGGTGCGGATTCATGATAAGCTTCGTGTACAGAACATGATCATGAGTCTCATAGATGGAGGCAGGGAGAAGCTGCAGGTATGCTGATTGTATCAGGGTGTTGGTTTGCTATTGGGGTTTGCAGTGAACTCTGCTGCGTTAGTCAACCTTCGACACTTCAGACAACAAATGAAATTCAAAACTTTAAAACCATATTTGAAGCTGATTTAACTAAATTCTTCCAGTGGCATTGCTTAAATCAGTTTGTAGCAAGTCATCATTCTCATATTTACATTTAATATTATAGTGGTAAGTGATTTTTAATGTAGAATGTGTGTTATAGTTAAGTAATGTATTTATTTTAAACATTTTTATTTCTTAGGAATCTTAATATTGCCTTGACAGAGGTATTATTCTGAGCTCTATGTGTAGTTTTAATCTGTTTGTCATAAGAGTGGTGGTTGGCTGACGTTCCCACATTTCGTTCATGTGATGAAATACGAGGGCTGAGTGTGAGAACGGATGCTGCGGGTGAATAATTGGAGTCATGAATGAAATAAATTTGACCTTGCTCAGTCATGAGATTGTTTTGTAATGTATCAGACAGACGGACAAGGCGTAATACTGGGAGGATGATATTTCTCTTGGATACAGTGACAGAGGCACATGTGTGGATAGTAAAATATCCATATTTACTTTGTGGTTAAGGTGGCAACACTTTTGAGTTGATCCAGCACACTCTTCTTCTTGTTTCAGATTATCTCTGATTTTGACCGGACCCTTACAAAGCAGCATGTGGATGGCAAACCAACGATGTCTAGTTTCTGTAGGTACATGGATCTTGTGCCAAGTTGTTACTTTATAGTTGTGCTAGTAAGGGGTGGGTAGATCAGAAAAGTCTCCTTCAGTTGGTAGTTACTCTACTGGTCAAGAACTCCACAGTTTGTTTGATTACAAAACCCTACCATTGGACTCTTTTCTCAGCTGATTCAATCCATTTATCTTCAGATCAAGGTGATACAGTTTTCTAGACCTTTTTTGTTTGGACGAGTACTTTGGCATGTTTACCGCTTATAATGACTGAGGATTTTATCTTTTTCATTATGCATACAGTGATAGTTTCTTGAAATTCCGGACTTAATCCTTACCTACCCAACATTAAACATTAATGATCATCTTTTTGTTGTACCGAACAGCGTATAACCACTGCAGCTGAATGATGTTTGAGGTTCTCACATTGATGAGTATGAAGATGGCTAGCTTCTGGGATGTAGTCTGGTAGGTACTGACTCGTGTTTAAAAGGAGTGTACTGCTTCCATCATCAGGGTGATGCACTTGTTTTTATAAACTTTATAATCTATATCATTTAGAGTGCAGTGCACGTTGCGAAGAAGTCAACAACAGAAACGACATGAATATTTCAGATAAGTACTGTGGAACAGTTATAGTAGAAACTTGCATTTGGAAGCTCTGTGTACTCCATTACAGATTGTAGGGACTGCCTTATCAGTTTCACTAGCAATGGATTGTTATCTGAAGTGCTCACGTTAACCATTGTTTCACATTGTGACCGGTTGAATTCTTTCGCAGGTATCTTCAGTCATTGCAGCCAGGTACCGAGTGTCTACAAGGAACAAGATGAAGTCCTACGCCAGCGCTACCGGCCTATTGAAATGGACCCAAATATGAGCCGAGAAGAGAAAGCAAAGCAGATGGTGAATTGGTACCAGGAAGCAGAGAAACTGCTCTATGGCTTCGAGTTTCAGACAAAGGAACTGGAGGATGTTGTCAGGGATGGAGGAACAGAACTCAGGTATCTCTCTCTGCCCACATATCAGGAAGTTAGTGCTAGCTCCACTTATTTATTCATTCATTCAGTCAGTCTGTTTTGACGAGGTGCAGCTAACATTTTTGGATTCTGCATGGGCCTTTGGAAATTTTCAAGATCCATTGTAAAGCCAATAACCAATCAAAAGCAAGTTCCTTCACAGTACTTCAGTACATATTTTCTGTCACATCACTGTCTCGGCAAAGAAACCAGTCCAAAGTGATCTATTTTCGTGTGTTTATTTTCCAGAGAAGGTACCAACATAATGTTGCAGTCGCTGCAGGCAGCACAAGTTCCTGTTCTAGTGTTCTCAGCAGGCCTGGGAGACTCTGTCTCAGCTGTGCTCAGGTACTACAGCGTGCTCCTCCCCAATGTTCACATCATCTCCAACTACCTGCGGTTCAACGGTCTTAAAGTGAATGGACTCCAGGGTGACATCATTCATTCGTTTAACAAGAATGAACATGCTCTTGAGAAGTCTGGCTATTTCCAGGTAGAGACAGGGAACACATTTAAAGCTTTCTGTCTTCTGGGTTGTTGCGCCGTGTAGTCTGGTCGATGGTTACCAACGTTTCAGAGGTCATACTGCCTCTGTCATCAGGGCGATGAATATTCATCGCCCTGATGATGGAGGCAAGAACCCAGAAGACAGAAAGCTTCATACTCACTGCTGTGAAAACCTCAGATCTTACTTAGGCACATTTATTTGTCTCTCAAATCTGACTTCCTCTCTGGATCCGATCCAAGATGTTCTTTAACTCCATAGTTCAGATTACTTCCCGACGGGGGGGACAGGATTTTTCCTCCAGCCTCTGGGTCCCACCCAGCCTTCAGCTTGTCTTTTTTACTTACACTTCTGATTAACTAAATCTGTGATATGGAGCGCTCCCGATGTTCTGTAACATCTATTTAACACATTTACTGTGCTTGACGTGAGTCACATGACTTCATTACTCCTGTGCCTTTTGATGATGTCATACATGGCGGTCTTAGTGTCTTTATTTGTGTGACCTGGTCAGCAATGTAGTTTAGTTTTTTTCTTGTTGCAGATTTATGAAATCCTGGACTTTTTTCAGATTCATATTTTGGCCATTTTCAGGAAAATTTAATTTTTTTTTCTATCCTAACAGCAAACTATACGCAATTAATAATTGTGTATTTTTATGCTATCACTTAGTACTCTGAACTTTCATAAGTCTATGATGCACACGTGTTTACTGGTGCAGAATATGAGTCATCATTTATCAGCACCATTGATGCATGTGCGTGTTATGGGGCACTTTGAAGGCTCCTGTATAGAAAATAAAAATATAATAGTACAATCTGTTTGGGGCACTTTGTATCTCGTACAAACTGCTAAGAAATATGTCGGCTCCTGTGGTCGGACACGCTCTTAGATAAGGCGGCAGTGACTGTGTTAACAGGCGCGTAGGGTTTGCTAATGTTTTTTTTTAGGTATTGCTTAAGCGATGCTGAATACTTCAGGGGCATTCTGGAACATTACTTTCAGATGCCAGAGCTTACATTTTATGCCATTCATAATAATTTTACATTATGTAACCTAAGTGACTGAAATGTGGGTATTATGTAACTTCATAATCTTGGGCCACAATTGTATTGCTTTTTTTTCTACTGTGGTCACTGAATTATCTTACAAATAATTTCATGGCTTTGTTTTAAGGTTCTGGCCAGCCGTAGCAATGTCTTGCTATTGGGCGATGAACTCGGTGATGCTGCTATGGCAGATGGTGTCCAGAATGCTGGCACGGTCCTCAAGATTGGATTTCTATATGATCGGGTTAGACAGACTCAGAAATATCAGAGGATTATAATTTGGTAACATTATGTAATGCCATTAATAGAAACTCAGTCTGTTAATGTTGTGTTATATTTGAATGCATTTCGTTGCAGGTGGAAGAGAGACTGGAAGAGTTTCTGAAGCACTTCGATATTGTTCTGATTGACGACCAAACGATGGATGTTGTCAACGGCATACTTGACTTGGTTCTGTGAGCATTGTCTGTGCCTTCATTACCGATGTTATGAACCGTGTCACCACGTGTTTGTGTACCTCCATATTGGAGCTTTGCGAGAATCATCGTACAAACGTGAAATGTAACTGCAGGGCCACGCACGTTATGAGGCAAAATGATGGGTATTGGCCGCAGCAGTTGCTTTTGCAGGACACTGCCAAAACTAACAATTCATTGTACTCATCTGTTGTATCATTAAGTAAGAAAGCGTAACTTGTTTGTTTTCATTTAGGAAATATCACTTCTGAAGTCTGGTCACCTAGACAAAGCACGTGTGCAGACGGAGAGAATGTATTTCACAGATATTGAATATGTGACACGATAGAATGACGTCTGTTACATTGGTTGTGCCTTGCTTGAGTGGATTTAATTTCGATAACATTGTGTTTGCTGCCATTTTGTTTAATTTATTACACATCTTGAATTATAGATTTATGATTATTGTTACTTCCATGCTGCTTTTATTTTCAGAGTATTATATTTGCCATTTGCTAAGGCATTCTGCTTCACTCATTTAGAAAATGTATGTTGATACCACAAACATTCATTGTAGAGAGTACAGATTGATATTAGGGGGCATTTGTGGGTGTTGGGAATTTGTCTTATAAATATTGTGGTATGGTATGATGACATCAACACAGTAGTTGTGAACAAAAATGGCAGACCTTAAAATATGTAAACTCTGCCATCTGTTAGTACAATAAATACGGTACACCATGTCATGTTTGGGATGTGTACGGAGAGGAAGGGCAGACAAGTGACATGTAGTTCACAAGAGAGAAGACAAGACTGTAATCTGAGTGTACTGTGGTTAAAGGTACTTCCCAATATATCGCTCCGTGGCCAGTGTATGTGACCATACAAATCATTAACACAGCACAGTATCAGCCCTTTTCCTTGTCACTTGAATTTGTTGTATCCTGGCATTGCAGGATCAGAAACATTAAATTTGCTGTGTTGGGCTTGCCAAATGTTCATTGGAAAAACTTTGTTCAGAATAAAGTTTTACAACAGCAGTTTCCCACGACACCTTTTTGAGGGAAGGTCCTTACAGCTAATAATTGCATATTCATTTGTTTGTTATTGTGACTCAAACTTAAGACATTAACAAGTAAGCTGCTTTGGTACCTATACAATGAAAATATTAAAATAAATCATGATTTCTTATTTTACAGCAGTTTTAATGGTTTATGAGTATTTTTCATGTGATTAAAACCCACACCATAGAGATTGAAACATTGTTAACAATCTGCAATTTAACATTGTGTAACAACCCGGAGGACCATTTAGATTTCTTCATTGCCGAGAAACTTAAATTTTTTTAGAATGTTTACCAACAAGTTGTTCGTCTTCCACCATCTTTCGACAAACATTTGGATTTTAGTATGCCATTTTGGAATTGAAAAGAGGGTTGTAACTTGCAAAGAAGCTTTCCCTTGTCATTATATGAACTTAATTTGGTTTGGTGTGTGTAACACCATTATGATGAGGCCTCTGAAGTTTATATGAGAACAGGTGGGGCTCAAAATTAAGATAGGAATGGCTTTAAGAGAATTCAACATGACAGGTGGTTTTACTTGTATATTGTATGCCCAGCATATTTTTATGGCCATGGCATACTCAGAAAATGTGCTGCAGTGTCATGGACTGGAGGAAAGAAATAAGGGCAAACATGACATCTTTACTGGACACTGGCTGGAAGACGGTAGAAGGCATAACCGTTTGTTTATATGTGCGTGGCACAATTGTTTTTTAAATTTAATTCCTAATAAATGACGGTATGGGAACAAAAATTTGACATGAGTATTTTACTTTTGTATAAAAATTGTTTCTTTTACTGGTTGCACGTGAGTCAGAAATATTTGAGACCAAGTGGAATTTATATAATAATGCCAATAAGATTTTTCATAATTATTTTACGTTCTACATATTAATATTCAAATTATTTAACTAGGCATAAGTTTTCAATGTTGGCTTTCTTGTAACAGGGACATACGTAGCTCGGCTGTGCGGTACAACTTGGAACTAAGAGTAAAGATCTGACAGTTGCCTTTGTATGAAAAAGCGGTTTGGATGAACGTGTGTCGTGGATAGTAGTTCAGACGTAAAATACTAATTTTTAAAATTTTAAGTGAGTTTGATAGGTATTTCTTACCTCAGTGAAGTTCATATCTATAGATTTTACTTGTAAGATGGAAAAAGACTGCAATCTTTCTAAATTTAACTTTTAACAATTGGAAGATGTGTTTTCGTATGTTGTGAATGTGCAGTGCAATTTGTTTCATACGACAACAGAATTATTATGTAAACACTGAAGGCAACTATGTTTTCAAGGACAACTTTCTTGTTGTAACAGTTTAGCAGGTTGGTTTGAAAATGTTTTGTTATTGTGTTATTTGGTATGCATTCTTATACAGATATACTGCAAGGAAAAGTTTGTGTACCTGCTGTAATCGCAGAACGTTGCCGAGGAGATAACTAAGTTATTCATATATCCTGTTCGAAGTTTGAAAGATACAGTCGTAGTATACGCATGTTATAGTGATATTCAATTTATCTTTCATGATTAAATATGCTGTGACACGTAAGTCATCAGTCATGCTTCCACTGCCTTACAATGTGTTCCATAAAACTTCTGGTAACGCTGTATTGATAGTATCAACGCAGTAACGGTGCAAATTTGTAATCGAAGGTTGTGTGAAGTTGCCATTTAATAATGTTTCAATTTAATATGAGTGTAGAACAAGTAATTTTGCATTTAAATTGTTACGTATTTGCATTGTGTAGTGTGAGTTTCAAGTAAAAAAGGAACTCGACTTCTTGCAGTTTGGGTACGTTTGACAAATATGTGGGCTGAGTAAAAAAAGCTTATTATTTCGTCCGTCAGACAACGAGTTGAATAGAATTATGCACCTGAAAATCTATGTGTGCGATGATGGCTGAATTCTAAGGCATATTTTTGCGAAGTAATACATTGAATGTGTATGTGAACAATCGATTTGTCTGTATTTAGCCTAGGGTACCGTGACTGTGAGATTACATAACAGGACTAACACAGTGAACTTATTGATTAAAGGCTGGTTGTGGGGCTTTGATAAGTGTCTTATGACCAGGTGTATGTTGTGGATTGCTAGCAAGTAATGAACACAAAGTTCATTGATAAAGGATTGAGGGTAGTTCATTATTAAGTGAAGCTTCTGCACTTGTTCATCGTAGATGATTCTGATGAATTGGGAAGATTGGGGAGGAAGCTATTGTGGCTTATTTCGATGGGTTTTTTTTTTTTGTAATGTTCACAAATAATTTGACTACGCAAAAGTTAACTGTAACGTTTAACGGAAGGGGTGGGTGATTTTCTACCATCGGAAACAACCACAAAGTATTGTGAAGAAATCGATAATTAGGCTGGACAGACTGAGTAAAACCACTGAAGTAAGAGATAATGCGACTTGTAAGCTACGTGATTTGGTCGGGTCCGAACGTATTACGCCATAGCGACCGTGAAGAGAGCGAGTTGTCATTTTCACGTGTCCCTTCCGAAGAGACAAGTTTTAGTTGCAGTTTTTTTGTCTTCTAAAACAAGTGTCTCATGTTTCATAACTGGTCGTGGCACTGTCAACAATAATCACGGCTGTAGTAAATGAACATCAAGGACTTTGTCCTCCAGCTGCTGTTGCTTTACCTAATCTTTTCTTTCGAAATCCTGGACGCATAAAACGGGTTTAGAATTTCATTTCCGGAACGTTTTGAAATATTTGCGTCAATTTTAATCCTACAGTTGAACCACAGACTGTTGTAAACTTACGTTCTTGTCCCCTTCTCTACCAGATCATAGTTTCGTGGGTCGAGGCTCGGCTCTCAGCAAGGGTATGGATTTTTCCTCTCGCCATGACGTTCCGGGATCCATCGTGTATAATCGAGTGCGGGAGTCGTATGTTTTTTTTTCTCTCTTTGCTAAAAAGAAACTTGTTACTGGCAGATTACTCAAGAATGGGCCAGTTCAATTTGTGCTATCTTTTACTGGGTTATTCAAGTTAGGTTAACCTAAGGCAGAAAGCTGACGCATTGTTGGGAACCTATGAATCTGTGGTCGATTATGAACTTACTGGTTATCTGGAGCCCTGCTTACTCATAATTGTTGCTGAGATTGCCATAACACGACCTATTTTTAGATCTGAATAAATACTTGGTAAAGATAAAGTACTACAATGGACTGCCCTTGCACCTTGGCAAGACACCATGAAGGGCAAAGCTCTACGTATTACAGACTTCAGTGTTTACGTAGAGCTGTAAGTTTCACACTCCAGTGCGTTATATCTCCAGGGGAACAAATCTCCTGTTTAAGTCGTTCTGTAGATTGGCCTATGAAATGAAAGACAGATGTTGTCTTAACACGTTGCAGTAGTCTACCGCCAAAACAGAAGTACCATTATTAAATCTGAGAGGATAGTTTAGACCCTTCAAGCAGTGTTTTTGAAGGAACCAGACAAAAGAAAAATGGCTTTTATAAAACGTGGTTTACGTCTGAAATACAGAATTGTAAAACTTTTACTCATGTTTGGCACTGTTAACTTGTTTTCGGGAGGGTGGATGCGATTGTATTAATGCAATTTAAAAGATTTATCCGGCATTGTGAAGGTTTTCCGGGCAGGGGTAAAAGGCTTGAAGGGCCGGCTTCTCCTTATAACCTACTGGTTTCAGAACCCTCCGCTGTCTTTCTCAGATTCTAGTCGATCGCTGAGAGGGCGCATTTGTCTGACTAAATAGATCGTTAGACCTAAACCAGTCCCGCCATTCAGGGTCTGCGATCACGTGCGTGAGAACTTCCTTTCTTTATTTCGCCACCAAATCTGGTTTCTGCTTGTCTCTGTCCCTTGTTGTATTTTCTGTTACTGCTGGCGACAGCTGTAAGCAAATCCTTTGTTGACGGGAGGTTTTGTATGAAAGGAAGGTTGGTCAAAGCGTACCAACTGAAGAGTTTTTAACCGTTCGAGGTTCCCTTCGGTGTTAATCTCGAAAACGTGTGAAGAAAGCGAACACAACGTAACCCTAATCTCATTAGAAACTACAAATACGTTTAAGGGTACATTTATTTCCTGACAGTTTAGTAGAGCAATTGCAAATGTGAGATCAAATGAGAATTATTTCAACCGAGCAAACGTAGCGATTCAATGATTCCCAGGCCTGTTCGAATCCCATACGGGAAAACAGCTGATTTCAGCAGAGGATTTCCGTTCTCTTTTCTGAACACCTTCAGGGTAATGTCGAGACGGTTGCATATAGGCTGCTTCGACAGGAGATCGTGCTTCCACGAAACGGATCCTGTGATATCAACAAGGCTGCTGTTTGTCAACTTTAAAATGTTGATCAGTGTTACCATAATATGCGAAAGAATTGTTTTCGTGTTTTGAGGATTGAGCCTTTTTCCCCCGCTTTTATTTTATTTAGAAGAAGAATAATACAATTTGCGAGACATTCTAAACAAAGTGTGAAGATTCTTCGATCTTTTATTTGACAATTCTTCATCAATTGACTGTGATTAAATGGCGCAGAATGACGGCATGAATATGAGTGATGAATGCGGAGAGACAATAAAGGAGACGCTCGGGTTGAATAGGGACGGAGAAATATAGAAAGAAGGCTGTGGTCTGGCTTTCCAGTTCGTAATCAGTGCAGATACCCGGAGGTGAGGGAGGGAGGGGGTCACCTCGAGGAGCGTTATCTACTCAGATTACAATGAGTGACGGAACAGTTTAGACTGTTTGGCCCCTTCCCCGAATCGACCAGTAAACAATAAGTACCACTTCCTCTTTCAAATCAGTAACAGAATTTTTTGTTTTTTATGATTCTCAGCAGCCATTAACCAATTGTTGGAGACTTTTTTTTAAAGGTAAAGAACGAATTCTTAAAATATTTGTAGATTTTACTTTTGGCTTCGGTGATGTTAGATACTTCATAATTTTCGGTTTATATGGCTACTTTTGTTCGTTGTAGTAATTAACTAGATGGCTTACGGAACCCGGAGGTTCAGCACCGAATTAACCAAAGCCCTGTCCTGGGCCAACAAAATCCAGTCTTCTTCAACTCCTATCTCCCATAGATCCCGCCTGAGATTATCCTCCCATCTACTTCTAGGTCTCCCCAGAGGTCTCTTCCCACCTCACATCCTTACAACCCAACTTTAAAATTAACGGTTAGGAAATGCAGGTTCCTTGAATTTTATTAACACTTTTGTTCTTCATAACACAATTTTCGCTTTCATTTTTACACGCGAGGCCGAATAGTTGGCAGGCCTTCGTTTTTTCTAGAGGTCCCACGAACAGCCACAACGCCATGGAACTGCTGTTAATTTTGTTACAAATCAGCTTTGTCTCGTCCTTCGCAATTATTTTAAGAGACGGTGATTCACGAATACCCGAAATGGTCCCGTAAATTCCGGGTCATGTCGCCACTAATAAGTTCCTCTGTTTTTGTTGTTGTACGAGTTACGTCATGGCTTTGGGTGGGGGGTGGGGGGAGTGGAAATGATTGCGTGTCTGTTCTGCAACTTATTACGAACGGAGGGATCAAGGTCAGGAATCTTGCTGGCGAAGTGAAGGTAATCCATGGGAAAATCGTTCGGGCAGTCCCACGTTCCCCTACTGGTTTGCAAAGACGTAATCATGAGAAATGTGTGTTCGTTGTTGATGGGCTGGCCATATAGAATTGCGGTAGAAGTTACTTCTTTCGTGTCCAATTAAATGTTCAGGATTCCGTAAAATGTTTCAAGCGAAAGTCGTAGATATTAATTAGATCCATATCTGATGTTATTCTTGCATGCATTCACATAATCCTACCACAAACCCCTAATGGTTATACAACCCGTAAGAGCGCGTTCTTTGATTGCAGGCCTTTAGTTCTGTTTATCGCCACATGCCGATTTCGCTTTGGTCCGGAATTTTGCTGTTGGCTTGTTGTAGGCCCAGATATAATCAAGGGTTACCTGATGCAGATCTGGTCTGACAGGGACAGTCCAGCCATTTCCTTGGCAACTTGGTGTACTGTACCAGGAAACATTCTCATAGTTTGTACCGACAGACGGTGCCTCCTCCTGCCTTTGATTTATGAAGTTGCTAGCGTCTGCGTGCTTAAGTTGGTGTCTGGAAAGGCAGACTTGCCTGGAGAGGCCAAGAAGTAACATGAAGAATGTCGATCAGGACAGACCGATGTTCGTCTCAGGACTCAAGTGAGATTTTTGAGAAGTGGATCATACGAAATTTTTTAGTAAACTGCTGGATCAGGGTTGAGTCCAGGTTCTGATTTTGTATCGTAGTTATTTCATTCAAAACTGTGGAAATTTGTTGACTGTTTCAGAGTGACAGGATCTCGATACTGGCTGGCATGGAGCAACAAGAAGTGAGTTCTGAGGATGAAGAACCCAATGTCACAGGTGAGCCAACAACGATGCTTTGCAGAGTGAGTCCCATATTTCAGTCTCCCAGAATCTTGCAATATGCAGTCTCATGGAATGTTAAGGTTCCTACTTGAGTGCTGCTGCACGGTACCGTAAATTATGGTTCTAAAGTTTTGTGACTGGCCTGCATTCACAGTTTCAGACAAATCAAATGTCCGTCATGTCCTTCTGGGTCATAACACCATGAGGTCTTGCAGCTGGTTACCAACATCTAGGAGGAAGGTATCAGTCAGGATTTGGATGTGAGTAATTTATCACTACTGGCAACCCTGGTTCGACATGAATGTCTCGCATCCCGGTCCTCGATTTCTTCCGAAAGATGCAGGTGATACATTTCCTAAGAAACTTTGGGATCTAGCTGCAAGTCCGCAGTTGACATCTTCACCAGCACGAGAACCTCGGGCTTCTTCACATCCAAATTTCTGTTGTTACCAAACAGCTCTTCGGCCCTTCTGTACCATGAACGTATAAAAAAAGCTGGCCGATTGTTTTGACTATTCCTGGTGATTAATGCCAAATGTTTGCTATTAAAAGTAATAATTCAGCTAGCGCAGTTGAATGGCCAGCCAATCCCTATCTGGGATTATAATTGAGTGTGAACTGCTGCAGTAATGGCAAATTCTTGAACTGTTCCTTTATTTGCAGAAGAGAAGATCGTGACCATGATATTTTCAGAATGTGACACCGAGGGAAGGGGCAAAGTTCCTGTGCTGAAGCTGATGCATTTCATGTTAAGCCAGGCCGATCAGAAGCTGGACAGGTGAGATGGCACGTAATAACTGCAAGCGATGGGTCTTTCGGAGCCCACGCCCCACTTGAAGTATCGCAAGGCTCAGTCCTTGGTCCGGTTCTCTGTGATGTACGTCAGAGATACATTCACAATCGTTCAGACTTTTAAAAAAGTTACTAATTTGCTGATGATAGAAACATGTTGTCAGTCGGAGAAAATGGCAGCGACTTGTAATCTTACAGAGAAGATATTTAAGTGGGCGCAGAGATTGTAGAAAACGTGGCGTAGCGATTACATTTGTTACGTGATACGTGTGAAATAAATTCATTAAGAGAAAGAAAGTTGATAGGAAAAATATAAAATATTCCTCAGGCACAAAAGTTAGTGGGGAAAAATGAGAATTTAAAGGGGGGGGGGGGTGTTAATAAAGTGAATTCAGAATTAAGGAGACTTAGGGCTGGGGGCTTGGTGGCAGAACACATGCACTGTGGACCGCCACGGTTCATTGTTTCTCTGTGCTTGATGTTCAGGTCTGTCTTGGAGGAACTGAAACTGATGCTGGACCCACAAGAATCCAATGTGGAGGTGACAAGACAGACGTTTCATACAGCCATGAGGACCTGGACTGAAGAAATGAAGAAGAAGAGCAACGATGACATTTCCTGGTAACTCTCTTATCCACATTTTTTGACCGGGGCTGTTTTCGCTATGAATCTGACTCAGAGCACGGCTTTGAGATCCTCCGTGCAGACACTGACGGAGAACAAGTGTGTTTTGACGTGAATGTGGGGGATTTGTCGTCTGGGTTCGATGCGCGAACGTGACATACATTTTGACGTGGCTCTAGGAATTTGCCTCTGAAGAAGGCCTCTGTTCAGTGACTATATGATAGTTGAGTCATGAATAAACCTTTGTCGCAGAGTAATCCGAAACTTCAGCTAGCTTTTCTGGGATTCTACAGGCGCTCTGGATTGGCTTGGTCGTTGAGCGTCTTATGTTTTAGCCCGCAGTGTTGTCATAATGTCTGTCGTCTTACAGCATGGACGATGCAGATCCGTGCAATGCCGGCACCATCGACCCCGGTCAGATCTCGGATGGCGATCCCGCCGAGTACCCTGTCTCTGGTGAGTTTCACTTATGCAGTAATTGATTCAAATGAAGGGATGAAATATAAATCTGTGTAATTTGAGGTTCTTATGGGGATGAGCGTGAAAATGTCTGTCTTGCGTGGTCTGGATTCTGTGAAAATGAAGACCGACTTCAGGATCTGACGGACGGGATGGTTCTATGCCCGCTGAGTTGGTTTGCCGTCTTATGTGATGGTTTTTGTTTAAGGAAACTTGCGTCTGTTACTGATGTGCGACTTCTTTTACATCAGAGCGAAGGAGAATTGGCTTTAACAGGGTTTTACTGAAAATTGCGCTGCATTGCTTTGGACTGATAAAGTTTCTCACAGCAGTTTTGGGTCACTGCACGTACTGCGAGCAGAACGTGCAGTGTGAGAGTCAATCAGCGGACTCTGAGGGGAACAGGAGGACGGATGTCATGAGTTCAGTGATCAAGTTATAAAGAAATGTCGTTTGGTTCTGTAGGTTATTTAATGACACCATATCACATAAAAGGGTAGTTTAGTGCCCGGATGAGAGGTGACTGTATGTGCCTACTTATGAGTACACTCAGACTCATAACCACTTTACGCAATGTGCTCGCTATTTGAAATTAATGAAGTGACTGTACGACGACACCAAGTGTTGTGTCGAGTGATCGGTTTCTGTGTTCCAGATCTCCACAACTCTTCCAACATCTCATCCTTTAGTTGCAGCAGTAACGAGCCAGTGACTCTGCCTCATGCTGTGTGAGTTACGTACAGGATTTGTTTGGCTTCTGAAGTCATTTTGTTTTTGGTCAACTTCCCTTCTTCACTTTATCACTTCCTTTGTCTGTCTTTATGTCTGCCTGCTTCTTTCTTTTCTTCATATTCCACCACTTTCCCTTTCTTTCTCAAATATTTCTTCCTTCTTTCCATAATTATTCTTTTTCTGTTTTCTTTCCTGCTTTTCATCCCCATTCTAAATTCGTGTGTACAAGGTGATCAAAAAGTCATGCAATCCACAAGAAAAGATATAATGTTCTCTCGGTGCATTTTAATTTCATCGGAAATATTTGTGATACCGTGACACAAAGTATGTGACCTCCTCCTTGCACCACAGATTCACACCAGTTAAATTAATTTGGTTGGTAGTGTGCTGTTCATTTTCGTAAGCTTGGAACTATTGAAATTCTTGTCGTAATGGCGACAGCTGTCAGATGTGGTCATGTCAGTCTTCCTGGTCTGTTCACATTTATCCCATCCACAAGAGCGTGCCATGTCCTGAGCCACATCAATATAATCTACACCTTTCAATACCATTTCCCTAAGATCCATTTTAATATTATCATATCATCAGAACCTAGGTCTTCCAACTAGTCCCTTTCCTTCAGGTTTCTGAAACGGAGTTTTGTACACATTTCTCATCCCTCCAGCGCGCAGGACATGTCTCGCCTATCTCGTCCATCTTGAATTTGGTCAGCCTAATTACATTTGCTGAAAAATACAAATTACGGACACGAGAAGGGGGGCGAACTGCGCGTGGGTTATGTCACTTCTTGATCACCCTGTCTTAAAGTACGCGTAACCTCAGTGGTGTCGTGTTGATGCTGTGTGCAGCGAGACAAATGCTCTGATGGAGTGCGTGATGGAGTTGAATTACTCGAAGAAGCGGCTGGAGGAGCAGAACGAGGACCTCCAGACGCAGCTTCATGCCAGCGAGGATGGTTACGCTCTGCTGCAGAAGGACTACAAGAAAATGTGCCTCAAGTTGTCCAGGTGATGATTTGTCGATGCTTGTCTGTGGTAGAGAGGAATTTCAGTGGCGGGCAGAAAATAATAAATAAAGTAATTTTGTTATAATAATATTTCGCTTGGTCGTGTTTGCAATGCATTGGCAGCGTGTTGAACGGTGAACTTTTGCATGCTGTGCCCATGAAATGTGATAATGTTTTGCACACTCTGCGCTCTGGGAATTGAATAGGAAGCTTTTATCTGTGGGATGGCGTAACCATTTTAAAGCCCATTGGTAACTATATGTACCATCTACTTTAATAATCAGCAACTGTGCAATGTATTTATTTGATTCATATGATTTTCAGATTATGGAGCGATTATCCCCTTAACCAGTTTAAACCATTTCATTACTGTCACGGAAATGCATTCTGTTTCCTTTGAAGAGGGTTGATACTTCGAAATTACTTTTCTGTGTCAGAATTATAATTTATTTTGAATGTACTTTGGTTGGAAGTCAGAATATTTTCCGTGTGTTGCGCAGCCTGCAAGGCGTCATGCAGCAGTTCCACCAACTGCAGAAAGAGTGCGAGGAGCTGAAGGAGGCGGCAGTCGCGGCGGAAACGGCCGGCGTCGTCCTGAAGCTGAGGGAGCAGGAGCTGGAGAAAGAGGCGCGGGTCAACAGGCGGCAGCTGTCGGAACTTGAGAACCAGGTTCTTTAAACTGAGAGCGAACAGATAACGCGATCTGACGTTCCGATTAAATCAAGAAACTGACTGTTCGTGTTGTTACAGAAAATGGAACTGGTACTGGAACTGGAGGTGAGCAGCAGGAAGAACCAGGAGGTGCAGAAGACAGTTACATTGCAGAAGATGGAAATCGAGCAGCTGTTGAAGCAGTGCAGGCAACATGAGCATCTGAATGGCACGCAGGCCGATCACATCTTAGAGCTGAAAGGCCGCGTTGATGAACTGCTGAGTAGCGTACAAGTTAGTAGCTCCTGTCATCTCGTATCTTATTGTAAGTCGACTTATTTCCAGTTCGTTCTGCTTCCATAACGCAATCTTGTGGATAATGCGCGAATGTTTTGTTATCGGTATTTTCCATATTGGGCTTGGTTGTCCTGTTGTGGGCATTACGAAACGGAACTGAGAATCACAAGAAAGACCGGTGAAAGATGGTTAGTCCGCTGAAATGTAAATCGTAGAATTCCGTTCTTCAGGGAAGGATCGTATTAATTTGATTTTGTATGAGGAGGGGATGGAGGATTTAATTTCTTAGGTTAGGTTGGATTGGTTTATTCTTTAAGAAAGATTCTGACATAGAGAAATTCTTTACAAGAATGCCGGACAGAGCGTCAGTCTCTGCAAGAGGCTCGATGGAGTGGCAGGCTGCTGGGGAAAAATTAATGTTGCGTGAAATTAGTTTAATGTGACGCAGGGTCCTGAATCTGTTTTGCCATTGAAGAAGCGAGCGTATAATGACCGATTTTGTGAAACACAGCAGAAGAAATAGAAAAGTATCAGATTTCTGTCTTCTGGGTTGTTGCGCTGTGTAGTCTGGTCGATGTTAACCAACGTTTCAGAGGTCATACTGCCTCCGTCATCAGGGCGATGAATATGCCAATAGGGTGTGAGAAGTTGGATTTTATAGGCATACAACTACACTCACCTTTCTCTCTCTACAATCTCTCCCTCTCCCACCCTCGCCCACGTGCTACCATTGGTCCACTCCCATACCTGCTCCCATTGGCTCGGGGCAGGCTACACCTTTCACGTCCCTGCCTATAAAATCCAACTCCTCACACCCTATTGGCATATTCATCGCCCTGATGACGGAGGCAGTATGACCTCTGAAACGTTGGTTAACATCGACCAGACTACACAGCGCAATAACCCAGAAGACAGAAATCTTCATATTCACCGCTGTGAGAACCTCAAGTCTTACAACTTATAGTTTGTTAAGTCACATATTAAACTCTGTTTTTTCGCATCCAAAATATATGGCTACTACATACAGAAGCGGAATAACACGTGACTATTACAGGAAGTTGTTAAAAAGAGTTAAAAAAAGACGATACCACTTACTTAGGATACTTGGACGACCCGTTCTTCAGTGCCTTGAGCATCTGCGGGTCCCAACTTTCTTTGGCACTGATCTACGGGACATTCCGTAAGGACTCCTTGGACGAGTGATCGGCCCGTCGCATGGCTTCTACCCGTACACAGGACAGCACAACACAGACAGATGATCATTTCCTTGTGCTTGGCTTACTCATTGCTCTGGTGATGGAGGCAGCAGGCACTTCTGTAATGTCATTAAACTTTTACCAGATTACGTGGCTCAACGTCGCAGGAGACGGTCGTTGTCAGAGATTTTGTTGTTGCAAACTGTTGAATTGGTGCCAGGTAGAAGAGATCGACGTCCATGTGAGATTCTTACCGAGAAAACTTTTGTAGCATTTGCAGGAGGACAAGCAGTCACTAGAAGTCTGTCTGTTGAGCATGGAGGATGAGCTCCTGTCAGTCCACAGCCAGGCGTCTCTCGTGCTCTCGAGGAGAACGTCCTTGGTGGTGAGTCGCTACATCCAATTAGGTTAGGTTAGGCTGAGACACACAAACGTGTGAAACTTCGCATGTGAGATTTTTTGTTTGTTGTTTTAATTGGCGCGTTCCTCTGAATTTCAGGGGAATGAGAACATCTCAAATAACGAAGATGACATGTATGTTAGTGCGCGCTCATCACCATATAGGTTTGTGGCGGACAATCACGACAGTCTCCAGGCAGAAATCGAAGCTGTGAACAAGGTAAGATGAAGTCACGTGGATCGTTGAAGTCTTGGGAGAGGGCGCTTCCTGTTTGTGGCTTAAATTGCATGAAGTATTTGGAAAAAATTGTAAGAATAATTTTTTAAATATGATGCTCGAAAATCAGGCAAGTCCTTCCAGTCTCTTTGCGCTGTGTTTGTTGAAATTATTGGTATCACTGGTGCAGAGAAAGAAAATTTTCTGCCAGCGAAGAGAGTCCTGAAGGCAGTTTTCCTTTTGCAGGTTACAGACAGAGAGGTGCAGTGCGAATGGTCCCTTGATTTTCGGAATCAGGAGAGCCAGACTGCGTAAGTAATAATGGAATCTCGCTCGTCTTTCTCCCTGAACATCCCATTTCCCCGCATGAGCATGTTAAAGATCAGTTTACGTTCACCTTTGAAATTCGCATTTGCAACTACAAGAAAGAAAGAATGGGTTTGTTGTTATGCTGTAAACACGTCGATTCCCTGGCTCGTTCATGCTGATCACAGAGGGCTCAGATAATTAGCCAAAAATTAAGAAGGGGATTAGTTTAACCTCTTTATGAAGAGTAGTTTTCTGTTCTCCTCGTACTGGAAGAGCCCCAGTAGCAGGAAACCATTTTCCTGTATCGACTCTGTTAACTGTTTGAAGTTCTACGACCCACGTCTCAACGTCGCTTTATTTGCCCTTGCTGTAGTTAAAGTTGTCTTCTGTTTTCTGCACAGGCCGGTCAGTGCTGAAGATGTGGCGCGGGAGATGCGGTCCGTCGTCGCGCAGGCCAGCCCAGGTAATGACTGTCACGCAACAAGACTGTTTCGTTCGTTGGATGTGATTGTATCGTTCAGATTCTTGTTACCCCTCATCATTCAGTCATTTTTGTTGATTACAAAATTTTACCCATTTATTTATGTGGCACCGCAAATAAATTAGGAATTTGACTAAAACCTGTCAACTCTTTTGCCGGATAAGATGTGAAAGGATTTTTTTTTTTTTAAATTTAACTGGAACACACTTTCTTTTCTTTGTTACGTTCTAAATATCAAGTATTTTTAATGTGACTGTCTTCTGGGATGTTTGCACCGTGCAGTGTGGTAGAAGCTGAACAAAATTTCAGAGGTGGTTCCTGCGTCCATCACCCTCATGATGGAAGTGCAGGACCCACCTGTGATATTTCCGTAAACTTGTACCAGACGGCGTGAGAGACAGCCATCTTTGTACTTGCCACTGCGAGAATCTCAAATCCTACAATTGCAACTTCGTCGAAACGGCGATGTCAGAGCTAGAACTTCACGTAGAAATGTAAAGTAATTTGAATAAAAATTTTGTTTCCAGACAACTCCATGATTCTGGGTGAGGAATCTTGTAGCACGAAGCAGCACTCTGTCCTCGAGGTTAGTATTCGGAAGATCGAAATGCAGATACTGAGGGGCAATATTTAGTCTTGCGTATATTTACTTAACAATTCAGGTTATTGAAAGTTATTCACCTCTCGCTGTGGATCTGAACTGCGGCCTTGCATGTGGGACGGCGCTAGAGCAAGAAGGAAACAAAGCACACCGAGATTTGGACTGAAATTTTTGGGTTCTTATGCCACGTGGTCTTGCATGTGATTACGAATATTTCAGAGGAACGTATCCATCTTCAGGATGAAGTTACCTGAAGATTAAGGCAATGTGTTGCTCTTAAACATTCATGGCGACGTACGAGACCACGCGTCTTGAGCCAGAAGACCCCAGTTGACGCAATAAGTATTGCCCCACAAAATGTCAACTTTCTGATCCTCCTTCATTTAATTACCTTAACAATAATGAATCAAAAGCACAAATTGTGCAACTTCCTCTGTTAATTCATCTCATAGTTTTCTCAGCCGTGATCCTGAGGACATGACGAGTGCTGATTGTGGATGATTTATTAATATTTAGGAAGCTTCGGATCCCACGTCGGACTTCCTGTGGCTGGACGTGCAGAATTTGACCCTGTTCAATCCTGACACACAGTTGGCGAAGTGGGTGCGCGACACGGATGCTTTGATTGCTGTCAGGTGAGCTGCAAATAAGTCTTTCTGATTCTGGTTCTGGGAAAATGCTTTAACGCACGGTCGCTACGAAAGCCCTGTCACAGGAGAGAATATGGTCACCTGGTGCTCATGTGTTGAGAGTGCGGTTTTGAAGAAGGGACTAACATGAAACTGTGACTGTCATTTGGAAAATGGGAATATAATGACTTGCATGACCGACAGAATTCCATAATGATAACAGTGCCTCGGGGGATTGTGTGTCATTAGCCATTAGAGATGACTGCAGGGAAAATTATAATTTTGGTTGGTAGTTGTGTCATCATTCACAAGAAATTCCCTGTCTATTATGGAACTTAGGGGTTCATTGCCGTGTTCGCAAGAGCCTCCAGTCCATACACCCTCCTACCTCATTTCCTTGAGATTAATTTTAATATTATCGTTTCATCTACGTCAAGGTCGCCCGTGTCGTCTCTTCCCTTTGGTGTCTCCCATCGAAATTTTTTTGCTGTCGTAATATAAGATCAGCTTCTGTTCTGACATCAAGTGATATTGTCTGCAGGAGCCTCCTCATCTCATTTATGAAGGAACGTAATAATTCGTGGTCATGTCACGGTCCTTCGTTTAATTGCCATGGCAGTTTGTGCCGTAGGACGGAACGGAAGTCTGGTTATGCAACACTGCATCTCAAATGCTCAGAAAAGGCCAAAATGTCGAGGTCTGCGTCTTTCGGTCTGTGGCCACGATGGAGGTCACATTCGGAAATAATTCAAGTGTGTATTTTTAGCTTAGAAAATACACCAATAAAAGGAAATAACACGGGATATGATCACATGAGACCTTCAATTCCGATGTAAGCGGAAAAGTTCAGGTCTTGTTCCAATTCCTGGCGCTTGCGCAATAAAACAAATTACTGTAACAACGCGACCGTCAAGTGTCGCCGGAAATGCAGGCATGCGCACTAAACAAAAGAACGTTTATAGAGGGAGTAGGAGTGAATCAAAGCGGAAGATTAGAAGACAACAGTGCAACATAAAGGAAAGACGAAAGAAAGGAAGCCATATTTGTTTACTTATTTGTGTATTTACGAACTGAAGATGCGTGAGGTGAGGGGAAAAATAAAGATCCGCTCGCTTTATCGAAACGCCACCATGATGTCACAACAGTCGAAGTGATGGTGGTATTAACCTAAAAAGATTCTAAAATACATGTCATATAGTTACGCGCACAACTTATAGGAGAAGTTCATCAATATTCCGGAAGGACGCACTTCATCCTCTGAAGCCCTGAAGATGGAAATAGTTTGTTCCTCCGAAACACTGGCTCTGTCAGGAAGGGCTGTGCTTGTGCTGAGTGTTGAACCCAGACCTCATTATCCTACTAACGTATCTGTTCTATTTAGACACTTTACTGGGCTCAGTCACTAAGGTGGTCGCACGAACTGAATATTAATGTGCAAGTGAGCCTTAAGGCCGTCACCAGTCGCGGGTTATCTGCCGTTGTCGGTCGAGGGACTCGTCAGTCGAGACGCGGACCGCGTGGTGAAAGGTTTTCGGCTGGGTGTGAGTGTGTGTCTGTCTGTCAGTGCAGTGGTTTTCGTCTCGTCGCCGTCCAGGCAAGTAGCTGCTTGCGATTGCTTGATTCAGTGTCAGAGGTAACACGATTGTCACAGGCTCGTTTGGGGATGCCGTCGTGTGGCAGTGGAAGATGACTTGCATTATGTCGGAGAATGTGCTGCTTCGTGCAGTCCATATATGGTCACGAAGTTTGGCAGAAATTGGCCTCAGCACCAGTAGAGTATCTTTGCTGTAAAATTGATTTTGTCTGTTATGATCGCTGTTAACGCGACAGGTGGCAAAATTGCCTCAAGGATTGATCGTCGACTAACCGAAAGAGTCGATATACAATCATTAAATAAAATAGAATAGAGTTTGGGAGTGGTGACCTCGGTGTTCGGGCAATATTGACTTGGTATTTTCGCTATTGAATGACGCTTTGTCAGAGACTGAGGTTGCTGGTTGTAGAGGCCCTGCGAGCGATAAACACAGGCTGTGGCGTAGCCCGCCTGGAGCGGCTCTGGTGTATTATGAAATGCGTGGCAACACGGTGCAGTCCACTTTCGAACTGGGTACCTCACAGTTCAGGTCACACTTGCTAAGTCGGTTTTTTTTTATATTTTTTAACCTGGTGAATCTCAAATCGAGTCTTTTCCTGTGATAATACAACATTTGCCCTGGTCTCCTTCTGAGGAATTACGTTGTCTGTGTTGTTAGGTTTTGTAAATGGTGATTGCGGGGCGTAGAGCCTTGAATGAGGGTCTGTTGTAGTATCAGGAATATCGCTAACAAACTGTCCGATAGCCACCTGAAGTTCCCGACTAGTTCCATGTGCCTGTTGCTGTATTGTCAGGATCGGGCCATGAAGGCGTATGGTGGCGTGGAGATAAAACAGTGAATCCTTGACCACTCAGTCCGCAAGGACACTTGGCCTCTATCGGGATCCGAACCATTCACACTGACGGGGCTGTATGTCTCTGAGCTGTATACGAAGAACGTTTTTTGTTCAGCGACCGAACATGGACGAGGCGTTTATCGTAATTTTGCGCCGAATCAACATGCCGTGGCCTGTTTTGAGGTCTGCAGTCCCCGCAGATCCACCTTATCTGCAAGGAACCCCCTTCTGTGACCGTGTTTACGGTGAAGTTACGTAAATTTAACTTAAAACGTGTTACATGACAACACTTTTAACACAGAAATTACAACGTTGACGCTTGAACGGCACGGAACACTTTTTTTAGGGGCGGGTCCGTTCACTTCGGCCTTGAAGGGCCATTACTGAGGAAACTTTTTATTACAAACTTTTAAGAGTGTCGGGCCCTTTCACTATCTTTTATTTGAACCCCTTGCCTTCTCCGTTTGGTACGACTTTTTTTTTGGGGGGGGGGGGGATCAAGACTTGCGACTCAGTAGCCCAGAAACATTATTTGTAAATAACAACATGGATTAACGCAAGTAGGATTTGACGTTCCAGAGTACGCGTTCATAGAACCCAGAAGACGACTTCCGTGCATTAACC